ACAGCTGAAAAGAAAATGCTACAGAGACCACAATTCAGACTTACAACTCATATCCGTATTTCTGGGTTTCCCATTATTTGGCTGTCAGCCATACCATGTTAGCCAGAAGGTGGTATCAGTTCATCATGAGTTTCAAAACAAACAGTTTAAAAGTGTGTTAAGAGAAAATAATATGAAACCAGAATAGTAAACATATGGGCTGTGTCTACACTGGGCCACTTATTCCGGAAAATCAGCCGCTTTTCCGGAATAAGCTGCGAGCTGTCTACACTGGCCCTTGAATTTCCGGAAAAACAACGATGCTCTACTGTACAAAATCAGCCACTATTCCGGAAAAACTATTCTGCTCCCGCTCGGGCATAAGTCCTTATTCCGGAACACTGTTCCGGAAAAGGGCCAGTGTAGACAGCCCAGTAGTCTTTTCCGGAAAAAAGCCCCGATCACAAAAATGGCGATCGGGGCTCTTTTCCGGAAAAGCGTGTCTACATTGGCCACAGACGCTTTTCCGGAAAAAGAGCTTTTCCGGAAAAGCATCCTGCCAATGTAGACGCTCTTTTCCAGAAATACTTATAATGGAAAACTGTTCCGTTTTAAGCATTTCCGGAAATTCATGTCAGTGTAGACGTAGCCATGTTGTTACTATTTGTTATTCAAATGGAGAACATAAACAGTAAGCTTAAATCATTGTAGGCAAATACTGGTCCACAGGCCAGATCCAGTCTTGCCAGGGTTAGTTCCTGGCATGCCCCGCTGCCATATTTACCTGCATGTTCACAGCTTCTCTTGGCCGCAGATACTGTTCCTGGCCAATGGAAATGGCAGGAAACGGTGTCCCAGTCTGTACCGCTTCCCATCACTCCCATTGGCTGGGAACAGAAATCCACAGCCAAAAAGAGATACAATCATCGGTACCTGTGGCCGTACAGGTAAATACAGCAGTTGTGACCCACCAGGGGCTAGTTCTGGCCAACCACTGCAATGTTACTGCTCACCCCAGCTTACATGCTTGGGCAAGAGACATCTCCAATGTGCCTGTAGGCTTCCGCAGCTGCTCCTGATTCCACACTGATCACTAAACTATTTCAGAAAGATTATCCTCAATAGTTTGAAAGCTGAGAGGGCATTATCACTCAGAAGTTTGACAAATACTATACTGTATTAGGTTATTACTGTACTACCTACAGTGCTCAAGATGTGTAATTTTTTCTGAAGTACTGAATACATAAATGGCAGCTGCACTTCAAAAAAATATGACACTTTGGTTTAAACCAATCACTTCAGATCAAAGAATGCTCATAGGCAAGCATAACAGCAAAAAAATAAAAATCCACTCTACTGCACATCTTTTTAATTGAAGGGTGTCAGTTTAGTTAAGTAAAAGAGACAAAGGTCCTAACTAAATCCAATGTACTGTTTACTAGACATATTGCTTCCTTTTTACATTCCTTTCAGCAGAGACAAAGGGAAAAAATCCACTTCTTTGCTGTTGAACATGCTGCAGGGGAATATTTGTTTTTTAAAAAGCACCACTGTCGTTAATTTGACAAGCATTGAATCATTTCTATTGCTGTTTAGTTGTATGAGAACTTTGCTTGTTTGAACAAAATTCAAATCTGGGCCAAATTTCAAAGTGTTCCTTCGAGGAAAGTGACTTGACATCCCATTTTTAAAGGTACAGTCCTGTAGAAAGGCTTAAATACATATCCCCCAAATCTCTCTTAAACAGGGACACATCCTGCCCAGGTCGGCCTCTCACTGTCCTCATCCTGCTTTGCCCCTTTACCCCAAGGAGCACGGAGCTGCTCCATTCCCTAGGCACCTTCCCCATCTTAGCAACCTCTCTGGCCAGGTTCGCTGAAGCCCCTGAGGGCATGCAGTCAGATTTCCTGCCACCTGGTGCACAATGTATCCTAGGCCTTCACTACTTCTTGGTCATGTTGTAGACAAGGGATATGAGGTTGGGTCATGTCAGTGGCCAGCAGCAGCCTGGAGATAAATTCTGCAAGGACATGTCAGTTCATCCATTCCCCATTCAATGCAGCTGGAAGCAGCTTCAATTCCTTCCCTCCAACATAGTGCCAAAAGTCTGCTGCTGGATGCATTTTGCTGTAAACCTTAGCAGACATCTGGGGAGTCAACACAAGAGATCTTGCACACACACACCCACCCACATTAAGAAGCTAAACTACAATTTGTATCGACTACATGATTAGTCGATAAGGACCACTCTGTAGAGTCGCAGCGGGGATAGCTACAGGAGACAGCTCGAGCTGCAACTGAGCAGTCCCTGCTCCGGGACTCACCCATACTGCGGCTCTGCATTTTAAATGTTGTAAGAGCTGCCGAGGTCTTGCTACATTTAAATTGCAGAGATGCAGTGTCCCAGACCAGCGTGAGCCAGGACTGCTCAAGTCCTGGTTCACATTGAGTTTAACAGCCTCTGTTTGCAGCAGCCAGCCCCTCTTTGTGGCAGACAAAGCTAGCCGCAGACTAGGGAGGTAAGTGACTATAGTATACAATTAGCTAGATAATCGCATCTGCAGAGACACAAGCGGGGGTAGCTCCAGGAGCTGGGACTGAGCAGTCTTGGCTCATGCCAGCTCCACAGCCAGCCCTGTCTGGCACCAGCCCCCATGTGGCAGTGCAGCTAGGGATGTAAGCGACTAGTCGACTATCTGACAAGAATTTGCTTATCAGCGTCAACTTTACTAGTCGCTTTACTGCCTCTTTCTGATAGAGGCAGCAAGGGAGGGAGCAGGAGCCAGTGCTGGTTCCCCACAGCACCATCTCTGTGGAGGGCAAGGGAGGCAGAGACTCATACGAGCACTTCTGCTTTCAAAGCCTAGAGGGCTCTTGTACATTTAAAAAGCAGAAGTAGCACGAGGCTAGCAGGGACTCAAGCAGTCCCCATTTGCCCCCGTCTTGCTGCAAAGGAGGGATAAGAGCTGGTGCTAAGAGGATCTGGCTTAAAAGAGGCTGCTCTGGAACCCACCCCTGTTTGCGGCAGACAGGACTGTCCGCCACAAACAGGGGATGCTGGACTCGGGGCGAGCCAGGATCGAGGAGTCCCAATTCATGCTGATCACCGTGCCTGAATTTAGTAAGAGCCCAATGGCTCTTATGCTCAGGGGCTTTTGCTAAATTTAAAAGGCAGAACTGCAGTGTAAGTGGCTCCAGAGCTGACACAGGCCAGCTCCTGGAGCTACCTCTGCTTGCAGCTGTACAGAAGCGATTATTTGGCTAACCATATACTATACCATTAGCCAGATAATCACATTTAACATCCTTAGCTCTGCCCATGGCAAGCCTCGGTCCACCATGGAGAGAAGATGCTTTGCAGCAACCTCCCCATCACACATACGCCCTGCAACCTCTAATAGCGCTGGGGGGATAGGGGGTGACACACCATGGAGACGGTGCTGGGAGGAACCGGCTTTTAAGCTGGCTCCCACAAGCACCAGCTCCTGTTCTTCCCCCTCCCTCTGCTCCCTGTTGCCTCTCAGAGGCAGCAAGGAATGGGGGGAAGCGAGTATTCATACTCCAGCCAATTACTTACTAACATCCCTAACCCCCACACCATACAGTGCCTCAGGAAGACAAAGACCCAGGTACCAAGAGAGTTGGGTCCATTCTAGGGGCCCATCTAGACATTGACGGGAGTGTGCCAGGCAGGGAGGGTCAGGTTGGTTGATTTCCCCTCCCTCTCCCATGTAAGAGAAAAGTATGTGTGTGGTGTGCACGCATCTCTCCTCATGACTAAAGCATTAAAGGTGTTAAGTAAAAAGAATCCAACTACACAGTATTTCTTTTAACAAGGGCTCAGTCAACCTGATGTTTATTTGAAAATTTGTACCACATAGCTTGATCATCATTGAACTTGCTTGAATACAAGTAATTTTACCAGGTGCTCCATATTCAGCATAGGGAAATATGATCACCTTACTTAAAGGATTTACAAATAGTTTGAGTCATCTTTTCTTTGTCCCCATTTGAAAATGTCTGACTTCTTTGGATCATTGCGATGATATTTATGCTGTAACCCATACATTGCATAAAAACCAACGTCATCAACAAAACCCTCACACCATGTAGGACAGCAATTATGTCTGTGGCATGCATATTATGTTGTCATAGTATGCAGTTAACTCAGTCTGAATGAGCAAAACGAGGGACACTAAATAACACTTCTGACTACCTGATGTTAAAGCATAAAAGTAAAATATGCACATTTAAAAAAGCTAAAATCATCAGTGCTATGTTACTATATTACTCTTCCAAATTCAAATTTGTAGCCTTTGCTAGGCTGCTTGCTTGAAGCTTAATGAAATATGGCACTGCATACCAAAAACATGCCTAAATACTTTAGCAACAACTAGACCATCCTTCTCCTTTCTATGACCCCTTGCAAAGATTATGTTCTTTCTTCCCATCCTCACCCAAAATCCTTGATAAAAAACACAAGTATTTTTTTCTATCTCCTTTTTAAATTAGGTGACAGTGACATTCTTCACAAAGCTGAACACATTTCAGTTACAACTAAATTCCCGTGATCCCAATGACAATCATATTCTGAAAGGATCTTTGAAAGGAACAGGGTAGTATTCGTTTCAGACAACTGAAGGAAATAAGAGAAGCAGGTACAATACAAAGTTCATCCCTCTGAGGAATAGCTGGATCAGATTAACAAAGACCTAATATCTCCAAATACACTAACCATGGGATAAGTTCACACTGTGCTACTATGCCAAAGCTGGTTTTAATAAGATCTGTGAAGCCACCTGATAAATCAGCTGCTGTTTGTCAACTATGATATGACAAACCGCACACTTTCTGCATTCAAATATAGGCTTATTGAAGATGTAGCCACCATAGTTCATCCACTTGCATTATAAAAATGCAAGTCACTCCGTTTCTTATAGCAACAGATGATAGTCAATCAGTTAATCAAACTTCAAAGATAAACCAAAAGGATAGCTGAAAGTCAAAATCATTCATCTTACCTGACAAGCAGATATAGGTTAAATATTCACCCTGGCCCCCAGTTGCTAGGAAAGGGATCTTTTTCTTTGTTCTCCTTTTCACTTGGACAGCTCCCAGCATCCTTTCATCATGTGGAGCAAAAATTTCTTTGTTGATAGCAGCTTTGGCACTCATTGTAAATCAGAGATGGAAGAGGCTGCTGCCCTCTCTAAAATAAAATCAATCAAAAATTAAAACTAATGCCAAGTTATAAGAGACTACATTTGACTTTCATGTAGATCAATTATTTTGGTCTTCAGATTTAGGCTTCAATGACTTGAAAGACCTTAGACGATAATTCATCTCTTTTCATCTAGTGGTGGGATTTTCAAAAGCACCTAAAAGTATGTTTTCACTACAGAGTTAACTCAAAATTTACCCACACGCAAGTTATTCTCTATGCACACAAGAAGCCGTGGTTGAGCAAGAACAGTGCTGCAAAAGACTTGCAATGTCTGCACTGATGTTGTACTCAGGATGGTTCTTAGTGGTGCAGTAACCCAACCATTTTATTAATTCTTCACCAGTGAATTGTGCAAAATCACATCTGTCCTTTCGGAATAGACAGAGATAATTGTGCAAAGATAATGAAGGACTAGCAGCATGCAGACAGGCACAGGTACCAGTTTCCTCTGGACCCCAAAGATGCTTAAACCCCTGCTGTGCTCCAGACCCCACCTCAACCTGACCCAACCTGAGATGAGGGTCTGAAACATAAGCCCATGGATCACAGGCCAGGCGTAATGCCTGAGGCCCAGAGTTAAACTGTGAGCAAGAGGCAGGCCTTGCTCAAAGAAGTTGGCTGATATTACACAAATACTCATACCTAAGAGGTACAAGGCACAGCTAGTAAATACATTCCATAAGTATCGAATTAGAACACCTCATTAAGAAACATCTTAATACCAACCTCCTCCCCACAAACAGACATACCGACCCAAGTTCAGGACAGGGTCTACACTGACAGCATGATAGACAATAATTGATCCCCTCTTGCATGGAGTAAGGCAGGGGTGGGAAAGAGGAGGCACCCTTACTATAGAGCAGCTGCAGCCGCTTTAAACTGCAGGCTGCTAAATGCTATGCAGTCTGGGCAGGGAGGAGAAAGCTTTGTGCACTGTCCCCACCCCCTAGCAAAATTCCCTCTGCTTCCATTGGCCAGTTTTGCTGAAGGCAGGGGCAGCAAATGAAGCCTCCTCGCTTCCTGTACTAGAGCAGAGCCACGTGGAGCAGCTCAGCCAGCAGTAAGGCATGGAGCCTGTCTCAGGTTTGTGCAGAGCTGCTGGCTATGAACCGCCTAGGTAAGCACCTCCCAGCCAGGGCCTTCCTCTGGCACATGCCTCCTCACTCTTCCCCCCCCCCCCAACTACCGGCTCCAGGTGACCAGCTAAACCTTCTGTATCTCCTCTCCCCACCTCCTCTAAGTCACAACTTCCTTCCAGACTCTGAATTTTGCCCTCCCCCCGGCGAATCCTTTTCTGCACTGTACTTCTCCCTGCCCCTGCACCCCATTCCCCTGCCCCATGTCACCACCCAAACCCTCTGCATCCTTTCTCTCCTCTTCTCCCAGGTCACAACTCCCTCCTGCACCCCCACTTACACTCCTCCCCCAGACCAGAATCCTCTCTTGCACCCATAACCCCCCCTTTCACCTTTCAGACCCCATACACCCTCCTGCAGCCTAGTCCTGTATCCCTAGCACCCTTCTACACACCTCACCCACTGTCCCAAACTCCACACTCCTCCACGGAAGTGTGGCCCTTGACCACCTATCAAAATCTTGGAGTAGCCCTTCATTAAAAATTATTGCCTACTCCTGGGTTAACAGGTGGTAATTAAGCAACAGGAGGTTGCAATGTGATATGTCAGAATGATGTGTTACTTGTTAATGTGTTACTTGTTTGTACCTGTGTATAAAAGTGTACCCCAAAGAGCGGTCTTTGGCTGGCCTACGGGGCAGTGATGACTTCCCATATTACCTCATGTCACAGACTGAATTGGTCCATTATTAAGAGAGTCCACGAGTGTAGTGGTTCAGTATTGTCTACTGACAACTATTATTGTACTTCATTTAACAATAAATCTAGTCAGGCATCTTCAATCCTTGTCTGATCTTGTGGTCTTTGAGGGCTCTCAGAGTCTACTGTGTTGATTAATCGTGCATGGTCAATACAGTAAACAGGGGCAGCAAACATACGAACGCACACAGCTGAATGGTTATCATCATTGACTGAGCAGGAGATGTGTCAGGATACCACACCAGTAAATCCTGACTGCTACAATCCCTACCCCCAAGCTCTTACCTAACCTCTTCCCAATGGAAGTCCCTGTCCCCTAACCCTTTCCCATGCCCACACTCTACTCCATTTCATCCTGGCCCGCTCAGCCACCGTCCTCCCCAGTGTGACCTACCTCTCCACCTTCCTCCAACCCCGCACACCACCAAACAGCTGATCACAGCAGACAGAATGCTCTAAGAGTGACAAGGAGGAGTTGATCAGCAGGGCCGCTATCAGATTGGAGATGCAGAGGAGGAGCTGGCTGCTGGTGGGTACTAAGCACCCTCTAATTTTTTTTCCTGTGGTTGCTCCAGGAAGTTAACACCTATGCAGATATGTCCACATTACGAGTGGTCATGTGAGTAACACATGAATCACATTCACTTGCCTTGCAGGCAAACTCCCTCCATCCCAAGCCCTGTGCCCCCTCATCTGTTCTGTGGAGATAGAACAGAGAGTGAGAGGGGCACCCTTACATCAGGGCCCCCACCTCTTCCTTCCCTGTCCTGCACAGCAAACAGGAAGCTTCCAGGGAAGGGTAGCTCCAAGACAAAGGGCGGGAGACGTGCAGCAGTGGAGGAAGGAGCAGCTGAAGTGCCAGCATTTGGTAGCCTCTTAGCCAAATGAGTCAAGATCACCTTGTCAGAGGCTCCAAGACCTACCAGTAGATCCCGATCTACGGGTTGATGACCACTGCTCTTGAGCAAACAAGTTAAGCACCTCCACAATATAGTTAAGAATGCTTATGTGTGAACCGGAATCAAGTTAGAAGCAACTCTCAAGTAACTTCAATTAACTCGGCATTGAAGACAAGCCCATAAAAAAAACTTGTGCTATTCACTGACATTTGCAGAGGCAAAACTGTGGGAGGGGGGGTTGGGAGGGGGAGGATGGTTAGCATCTCTGAATCACCTAAGTTTTATTACTCAATTGCCAATGTAGACATAGCCTTAGTCCAACATTACAAAATCTGTTTGAAGATCAGTTTTCAAATTCATTTGGAAATTAATGAAATGCCCCCAGTACAGCCTCTCTATTTGTACTATGTCTAGTGTATTTAATATAACTCTTAAAATGAAAGGGCAGAACCTCTGAATTTGCAGGAATTACTACTGAAGGATTTTTAGAGCCATTCAATACTATTTAAATGACTCAATATAGCTCTTCATTCATCCAGCCACCTCAGAATCCAAGACAATGATTAACCCTCATTTGTCTAGTTTCAAGAACATAAGCCAAGCAGGTCAAACTTAGTTGAACCTTCCTCCCCAAAACACCTTACATATAGTCTAATCTCTGACTTACAAACCATTACACAGATGCTAAACTTTATGCATGTTTGTAAACTCCACGAGGTTGGTGTTATTCATGAATGTATGCAAGTCTGCAGGATGATACATACCCCTTCTCTCCCAAAAAATTAATTTTCCAATTTTAAAAATTCTTTCTAATCTTCATAATGTACTACAATTTTGATTCATCAGGTTTGTTAAACAAATTTTTCTTCAAACTTACATTTGAGTACCTATTTTGAAATTATAAAATGTGCCTTTCAAAAGGAAAAACCTATTCAATTTTTCAGTCATACAAATCACTTATGTATAGTGTTGCCAGGTGTCTGGTTTTGAACAGGACAGTCCAGTATTTGAGCTCTCTGTCCAGGAAACAAATTGAGAAAATACTGGACATATAAATATCCGATATTTTCTAATTAAATAAGTTTCATCATCATCATCATCGAGAACATAGATGTGTACTGCCTGGCTGGTAGACACGCTCACACTGTGTGAGCATGTCTACCAGCCAGGCAGTACGCAACTACACAGTAGGGGGGCAGGGCGGGATGGAATCCCTGGGGCTGTGTGCAGGATGGGATCTGCATGTGCCTGGGCCAGCCCCGCTCCCCACTGACCAGTTCCTTCTCCCCATCTCCCCCGTCCAGGCCTGCTCCCCCTGGCCAGCCCTGCTTCTCGCCAGCCATTCCTCTGCCCCCCATCTCCACTGGCCAGCCTCGCTCCCCTCGACCTTCTCCCAGCCAGGCCCGCTCCCCTCCCGGCTGGCCCCCTCCCATCTGAGATCAAGTGTGTTCAGTATTTTTTTGAAATCATCTGGTAACCCTACCTATGTAATTTACATTTACAAAATTTACAACCAGCTCTACATAAATAACATTAAAACTAAATTTAGGCCATGTCTATATGTACAGTGCTGCAGCAGCACAAATGAATTGAAAAAGCTGCACTGCTGCAATGCATCTAGTAAAAATGCTCTATCGGTGAGAGAAAGCTTTCCCATCCACATAAAACACTACTTGGCCAGTATGAGAAGCTATGTCAGTGGCAGAAGCTCTCCCAGAGACATAGTGCTGTGCACATAAGCACTTGCCAGTAATTTATGCCACTCAAGGGAGTGGAATAGTCATACTCTTGAGCAACGTGCATTTTAGCAACACAGGCTGTAGTCAACATAGCCTTACCCTGAATTATTTCTTAGCATTGGAAACCATGTAATCTGATAGCTGGGTTAAAACCCTGCACCTAATTTAAACTGCAGCTATAATTCAGAGGTGATTTTTTGTTGTTTGTTCGTTTATTTTTAATTAAAGTTGCCTTTTTAGGGAACTTTAATCAAAATAAAAGCTCCTTTCAAGAAGTCTATAGTGAGCTCACAATATTTTGATGTCTCAATTGTGTCCTAATTCCCCTTTTTCCTCCAATTCCCAGCCTGCACCCTTTTCACAGCATCTTTTTGTTTGGTGTATCATTGCATAATGCACAGCTAAATGCCATAACTCTAGTCAAAGGCATTCAAGCTCTTAAGCCTCGTTTTAGGTCTTGAATTCCTTTATATGATCAAGTCACTGATAATTAGCCCAGAAATTGAGTTCATG